GAAGAAACTTTGCAATGACAGGAATGTCTCTTTTTGTGACAACTTTGATTTGCTGTGGGAGCAACCAGCAGTTTTTAAAAGAGACAGGATTCACCCTAACCGCAGGGGTTCCATTACTATTTCCAGCAACATCGCAAACTGTTTTAGAGACTGATGGACAGGGTTTGGTAGTGCTCCAGTTCTCCCTGTCAGAATAAGCAACAGAAGAGTTGGAAAGCATATCAACTCCTGTAGAAATGGCTCTATAGTTATTGTGAGTAACCTAATTTATGTTCCTTTAACTCTGCCTTCTAGTGAGTTTATACAAACTGTTATCTCCTACCATTCTGATAGATTGGAGGCTGTCAGAAAACGTGGTTGTAATGTTAATAATTTGGTTGTTATTCCTTTGGTTACCTCGAGGCAGCGGCCCATACTCATTGAATATGGCTCTTTTAAATGTTAGTGCAATCACAAGTAAAACCTTTCTCGTGAATGACTTCATTACTGAGCACATCAGACTGTAGTGCCGCTCTTATTGAAGCCTCCCCCCCGGACTACAGCTTTTCATACTCTATCAGAAAAGGGAAAAGGGTGGGGGGACAGCCTCTATTTTAACTAATGCTCTCAGTTGTAAGGACATTTCGTTCAGCGACTTTGGGTTTTTGGAGCATCATGCTATAATGTTTAAATGTCAGCCACCAATGCTTGCCATAACCCTGTATAGGCCACCAAAACACTGCCCCACTTTCTTTACTGATTTATCTGAACTATTGCCTATTGTCCTTAAGAACTACGATAAAATCATTTTGATGGGCTATTTTAATATTCATGTTGACAAAGAGACTGACTCCAAGGCCATTGAATTGATTAAACTTTTGAGCTCTATGGACTTTCTCCAACATGTTACTGGGCCCACCCATAACCACGGCCATACTCCGGACCTGGTTATTACCAAGGGGCTTTCTATTAACATATCCTTTATTGTTGATGTTGCTTTATCTGATCACCACTGTGTATTTTTTACTACCTTGTTGCCCATAGCACAGGGTAATACTGAATGCATTATTAAGAAACACTATCTTACCTCTGAAGTTGATACAGATTTTATTGAATGTATGAACAATACTCCACCACCTATTCTGCCTTCCTCTTGTGATGATTTAGTTGATAACTTTAATAGCAAATTAAGGGCAACTATTGATGCCATAGCTCCAGTAAAGCTGAAAAAGGCGACATCCAAACGATGAGCCCCTTGGATGAGTGAGGAAATTAATAAATTAAAGAGAAATTGTAGAAAGGCAGAGCAGAAGTGGAGAAAGTCAAAGTTGCAGGTCCATTATGATATTCTGAGAGAGCAACTTGGCATATACAGTGCATTCGGAAAGTATTCAGACCCCATCATTTTTTCCACATTTTGTATGTTACAGCCTTATTCTAAAAATGATTAATTAAAAAATTTTCTTCATCAATCTACACACAATGCTCAATAATGACAAAGCATAAACTGTTTTTTTGAACATTTAGCAAATTTATAAAAAATAAAAAACTGAAATACCTTGTTTACATAAGTATTCAGACCCTTTGCTATGAGACTCGAAATTGAGTTCAGGTGCATCCTGTTTCCATTCATCATCATTGAGACATTTCTACAACTTGATTGGAGTCCACCTGTGGTAAATTCAATTGATTTAATATGATTTGTAAAGGCACACACCTGTCTATATAAGGTCCCACAGATAACAATGCATGCCAGAGCAGAAACCAAGCCATGAGGTCAAAGGAATTGTCCGTAGAGCTCAGAGACAGGATTGTGTCGAGGCACAGATCTGGGGAAGGGTACCAAAACATTTCTGCAGCATTGAAGGTCCCCAAGAACACAGTGGCCTCCATCATTCTTAAGTGGAAGAAGTTTGGAAGCACCAAGACTTCCTAGAGCTGGCCGCCTGGCCAAACTGAGCAATCGGGGGGAGAAGAGCCTTGGTCAGGGAGGTGACCAAGAACCCGATGGTCACTCTGACAGAGCTCTAGACTTCCTCTGTGGAGATGGGAGAACCTTCCAGAAGGACAATGTTAGAAATTGCGTAATTCAAATCTGGTATTGGAATAAGAATCAAGAGATCTTCAATCCAAGCTTAATTTATTATATGCAAAATGTATGTATGATAAGTATGAAGGTTCGTATATACGGGTCCGCTGAAATACCACGCAGGGCACTCAGAGAACTGATCCATTGTTACCGGTTCTTCCTCAAATACTCTGACAGAGAGAGAGAGTTCCCACCTCTCTGCTGGCCAATCAGAGTAGACGCTGAGCGTGGTTTAGACTTACTCAGCCAATCCGTTGGCGCACGGGTTGGTCCCAACCCCTCGGCGCTCCATTTGTTGCACACTGTTGCCAGGCATAAGTTTATCATAACAACCTGTGGAGTTAGCACTTTTTTGCAGTACCCATGTCCTTGGACGGTTCACAGATCACAAAGAAGCAGTGTTCGTATTTGTGAGAAATACAAGTCTTATCTATAAGAAATATAAGTTTTATCTCATCCTACCCCCTAACGTTCCTCACATGAATCACAGCCTGTTATGTGAAACAATTTATATCAGTATAGTACAAACCTATGCTCATCATTAATGCATTCCTTCTAAGCTATTCATCACATACAAATCCAATTATTAGAAAATATAACCTCACAACAACCATCTCTGTAGCACTTCACCAATCAGGCCTTTATGGTAGAGAGGCCAGACGGAAGCCCCTCCTCAGTAAAAGGCACATGACAGCCCGCTTGGAGTTTGCCAAAAGGCACCAAAAGGACTCTCAGACCATGAGAAACAAGATTTTCTGGTCTGATGAAACCAAGATTGAACTCTTTGGTCTGAATGCCAAGCGTCACGTCTGGAGGAAACCAGGCACCCCTCATCACCTGGCCAATACCATCCTTACGGTGAAGCATGGTGGTGGCAGCATCATGCTGTGGGTGGGCCTTGGAGGGCATAGGCCCACCCACTTGGGAGCCATGCCCAGCCAATCAGAATGAGTTTTTCCCCACAAAAGGGCTTTATTACGGACAGAAATACTCCTCAGCATCCCCCAGCCCCCCACCCCCTCAGACGATCCTACAGATGAAAAAGCCGGATGTGGAGGTCCTGGGATGGTGTGATTACACGTGGTCTGTGGTTGTGAGGCCGGTTGGATGTTCTGCCAAATTCTCTAAAACGACGTTGGAGGCAACTTATGGTAGAGAAATTAACATTAAATTCTCTGGCAACAGCTCTGGTGGACATTCCTGCAGTCAGCATGCCAATTGCATGCTCCCTCAAAACTTGAGACATCTATGGCATTGTGTTGTGTGACAAAACTGCACATTTTTAAGTGGCCTTTTCTTGTCCCCAGCACAAGGTGCACCTGTGTAATGATCATGCTGTTTAATCACCTTCTTGATATGCCACACCTGTCAGGTTGATGGATAGATTCTATTGGCAAAGTAGAAATGCTCACTAACAGGGATGTAAACACATTTGTGCTAAACATTTGAGAGAAATAAGCTTTTTGTGTGTATAGAAATGTTCTGTGATTTTTTATTTCAGTTCATGAAGCATCAGACCAAGACTTTACATGTTGCGTTTATATTTTTGTTCAGTGTACATGTCCACAAAGGCAGAAGGCATGTGGGCGGAGACGAGATCAGGTGGGAACATTCTAGCCAATGAGAGGGCAGATATGCACCGTGAACAGCCTACACAACTGTGATATAAAATATTCAAAAAGTTGCCGGAATGCCACATGCGTCCAATTATATCAGTACATTTCTAACAACCTAAACATTACGAAACTTATATTTGATCAAATTATCCTCACGTAGTAAATTAGTATTCCATTTTTTGCTAACCAAATTAGACACTGTCATATAGACCTCCATTACAAAAAATCCCCACTTTTTCTTCATATTGCTGTACTCTCGCGCGGACAGATTTTGGAAGTAGTTAATCCTCTCGCTTCGCCTCTTCCTCTCTGGCGGAGTCTAGTATCGGGAGATGCCGAGGCTGTGGGAAGAGACTGGGTTTCACCTATTGCAACTGCCAGGTTTTGGGTCCGGGATGGGGTGGAGCCCATGGGGATAGCAAAGGAATGCCAGAAAAGAGGATGAGACTAGAGGGATAGTAGGCTATCCGTTATTAAACGTTGAAGTTGTGTATGTGTTACTGAAATTTAGATATTCTTATCTGTCAAATTGAATGTAGTAGGCTACTCCAGCATAAATCTTGGATTCCAGGAAATTAGCATATAGTTACCATGGTGATGGAAGTTTACTGATCCAATGAGTTCCACAATATTATTGCTAGCTATTTTAGGAAGTTTTCCGCTAACTTCTAGCTTTTTAATTAGCTAGTAGATCTATTGTGTCTCACTTTTGAGAGTAAAACTACTAGTTTTTCCCCAGCATTTTTTATTGCCAAGTTAAAGAACATCCCCAGGAGTCCGCCCATCGCGAAAATAAGACAGCCAGATTGTAGGTGGTCAGGTTAGATGTCAGTTTTGGTCACGTAGCCCAAACATCTGCTTCGACATAACGAAATATGACAGCGCTTGCTGCTGGTTACTGGACATCTGAGACAGAAAAGTTCTGAAGACGTCTCCCCCTCTGAAGGTAAAGACCGCGACCACTATACCGTACGTTTACTATTCAAGAAGATCATAGCCTATCTTCGTTTTGTCTCTAGTTGTTGTTACGTTGTAACGTTAACACATTTCAGCAGCAGCGTTGCAATTGTAAATTAGAAGCTTGTCTTTTTTGTCATGATTGTCTCTGTGTCATAAGTAGTAGTAGGAGTAGTACTGGTGGTTTATTATTAAAATGTTTTTTTTAAATCTTTTTTTTGTTGTATAGCCTATATTGGCAGTGTAACTCCACTGTACAATATGTGGGTGTTTTTGTCTTTTTAGGGCCTGAGTGGAGGGACAGGGGTTGAGGTCGTGTTCTTGAGGTGAGCCTTGGGAGACCAGGCAACCATAACAAGATGGTGAAAAAAAACACAGGACACTCACGACAGTCATCCATATCCAAGACAGCTGGTGGCTCCCAGATATCCAGCCTCAAAGACCTGAGCCTGCTGGATGAATCTGGCCTTGGGCAGGAGGAGATGCCAGAGCTGCCTCCAGAACCCCCCACACCTGATGAGGGCCACCTGGGCTTCCCAGACCCTGTCTACATGCTGGCGGCAGTCATCTTTCAGAACACTCACCTGGAGAAACCTGCTGCCCACCGGTTGGTCAGTTATGGCAAGCGGGCGGGGCTGCCCCTGCCTGAGGCCAAGGATGAGGTGTACCAACGCAGCTCGTATGAGCTGGCCTTCAACACACTCAAATGTAAGTGAACAGCAGAGAGGACTGTAGGCTATGGGGAAATGAATACATAGAAAGGTTTTCTATCCTTCCTCCTTTATTCTATAATTTCCTCCTTAATTGATTCAACACACACTCATACACACATACATCCTCTCATACAGTATGCACGTATGTATGATGGGTCCCCATTCCGCTGCATATGATTGGAAGTGGTTATCTTGAGCCACTTTGCAAGAGAAAACCAACAAAGGCAACTCAGAAACCCCAATTTTCATTAATTCCAGACACTCTAAATTGCAATTTAGACATATCTGATTCCAAGCAAACGAACAGCTATTTGAAAATGAGAATGAATAGCCTTATGAACATTAATTGACATGTGGAATTGAATCCTGATAGATTGATGGAGGGAAAAGTGAAAGAGAAAATCCCTTTGAATGGCCATGGGGAATTCAGTGTGATGTTACAAATAAATTGTTCCCATATATAATCTATTAAACCAGGGACGGGGGGCAGGTCTGCGGCTGCCAAACACACAGGGTGTGTAATCACCACTGCGATAAGGGAGGGAAAGGTTGGAGGACTGTCAGTGCAGGCCACGAGATGGAATCGATTTCTCCTGCTCTCCCCATGTGAGAGGGGCATATATGCTATCTGTCCACTGCACGTAGATTAGGCTAGCTTGTTGAGGTCCTGGCCTACATTTCCCACAATTTGGCCAATCAGACTAACTCAAGCTCCATTGCTTCCCTGCTGTAACTGTAAAAGTGGTTGTGAGAGCAGAAGTTACATTTCCTGGCTACCCAGACTCCTTGCTCCGGCCAAACGTTACGCTACACCCACAGACGTTAGTTTCTTCTCCGCAATGAGTCTGGATCTGAGTACCTCCCCAACCCTTCAACGAATGCAAACACAGTTAGGGCCATCTGATTGGTCCAGAAACCGATGGATTGGGCCAGAGCCAGAACACACGTGTGTAAAGCGGCGATTAGAAAATGTCGTCATTGGCTTTGATACTCTGATTGCTTAGAGACGATCCAATCGCTGATGACTTTGTTTTATACAATGCCCCTCGTCACTTCAAACGACTTCAATTATGGCAGTTTCAGACTAAAGTACACTACATGACCAAGAGTATGTGGACACCTGCTCGTCGAACATCTCATTCCAAAGTCATGGGCATTAATATGGAGTTGGTCCCCCCTTTGCTGCTAAAACAGCCTTCTCTCTTCTGGGAAGGCTTTCCACTAGATGTTGGAACATTGCTGCGGGGACTTGCTTCCATTCAGCCACAAGAGCATTAGTGAGGTCGGGCACTGATGTTGGGCGATTAGGCCTTGCTCGCAGTCGGCGTTCCAATTCATCCCAAAGGTGTTCGATGGAGTTGAGGTCAGGGCTCTGTGCAGGCCAGTCAAGTTCTTCCACACCGATCTCGACAAACCATTTCTGAATGGACCTTGCTTTGTGCACTGGGGCATTGTCATGCTGAAACAGGAAAAGGGCCTTCCCCAAACTGTCGCCCCAAAGTTGGAATTACAGAATCGTCTAGAATGTCATTGTATGCTGTAGCGTTAAGATTTCCCTTCACTGGACCTAAGGGGCCTAGCCCGAACCATGAAAAACAGCCCCAGACCATTATTCCTCCACCACCAAACTTCACAGTTGGCACTATGCATTCGGGCAGGTAGCGTTCTCCTGGCATCCGCCAAACCTAGATTCGTCCGTCGGACTGCCAGATGGTGAAGAGTGATTCATCACTCCAGAGAACTGCTCCAGAGTCCAATGGTGGCAAGCTTTACACCACTCCAGCCGACACTTGGCACTGCTTATGGTGATCTTAGGCTTGTGTGCGGCTGCTCGGCCATAGAAATCCATTTCATGTTGCTTCCAGAGGCAGTTTAGAACTCGGTAGTCAGTGTTGCAACCAAGGACCAATTATTTTTACGCGCTTCAGCACTTGGCGGTCCCGTTCTCTGAGCTTGTGTGGCCTACCACTTCGCGGCTGAGCCATTGTTGCTCCTAGAAGTTTCCACTTCACAATAACAGCACTTACAGTTGACCAGGGCAGCGCTAGCAGGGCATACATTTGACGAACTGACTTGTTGGAAAGGTGGCATCCTATGACGGTGCCACGTTGAAAGTCACTGAGCTCTTCAGTATGGCCATTCTACTGCCAATGTTTGTCTATGGAGATTGCATGGCTGTGTGCTCGATTTTATATACCTGTCAGCAACAGGTGTGGCTGCTGAAATAGCCAAATCCACTAATTTGAAGGGGTGTCCACATACTTTTGTATATACAGCTCTGGAAAAAATTAAGAAACCACTGCAAAATTATCAGTTCCTCTGGTTTTACTATTTATAGGTATGTGTTTGGGTAAAAATTACATTTTTGTTTTATTCTATAAACTACTGACAACATTTCTCCCAAATTCCATTTATTTGCAGAAAATGACAACTGGTCAAAATAACAAAAAAGATGCAGTGTTGTCAGACCTCGAATAATGCAAATAAAATAAGTTCATGTTCATTTTTAAACAACACAATACTAATGTTTTAACTTATGAAGAGTTCAGAAATCAATATTTGGTGGAATAACCCTGATTTTCAATCACAGCTTTCATGCGTCTTGGCATGCTCTCCACCAGTCTTTCACATTGATGTTGGGTGACTTTATGCCACTCCTGACGCAAAAATTCAAGCATCTCGTCTTTGTTTGATGGCTTGTGACCATCCATCTTCCTCTTGATCACATTCCAGAAGTTTTCAATGGGGTTCAGGACTGGAGATTGGGCTGGCCATGACAGGGTCTTGATCTGGTGGTCCTCCATCCACACCTTGATTGACCTGGCTGTGTGACATGGCGCATTGTCCTGCTGGAAAAACCAATCCTCAGAGTTGGGGAACAATGTCAGAGCAAAAGGAAGGAAGTTTTCTTCTAGGACAACCTTGTACATGGCTTGATTCATTCGTCCTTCACAAAGACAAATCTGCCCGATTCCAGCCTTGCTGAAGCACCCCCAGATCATCACCGATCCTCCACCAAATTTCACAGTGGGTGCAAGACACTGTGGCTTGTAGGCCTCTCCAGGTCTCCGTCTAACCATTAGACGACCAGGTGTTGGGCAAAGCTGAAAATTGGACTCATCAGAGAAGATGACCTTACTCCAGTCCTCTACGGTCCAATCCTTATGGTCTTTTGCAAACCTCAGCCTGGCTCTTCTTTACTTCTCATTGATGAAGGGCTTTTTTCTAGCATTGCATGACTTCAGCCCTGCCCCTAGGAGCCTGTTTCGAACCGTCCTCGCCGTGCACTTCACCCCAGCTGCCGTTTGCCATTCTTTTTGTAGGTCACTTGATGTCATCCTACGGTTGTTGAGTGACATTCGAATTAGTTGGCGGTCATCCCGGACAGTAGAGAGTCGTTTTCGCCCTCTGCCGGACTGTAACTTTGTTGTCCCCAATGTCTGCTGCTTGAACTTGTTCTTATGAACTGCCGTCATTGAAATTTTAAGGATGGAAGCAATCTGACGCTCACTGTATCCCTCTGCCAGTAAAGCCAGAATTGAACCCTTCTTTTCCTCACTCAAAACTTTCCTTTTCAACTCTTTTGGCATGGTCAATAGTTATTTTTTGATTAATATTACTTTTGAGGTACTATTAGCACTGTTTTTGCCATCAAGCTGGTCCTATTGCAAGAGGATAGTGATGACCACAGCAGTGGTTTTTATACTTTTCCTCGTTAAATAAGATTTGGTTCAGGTGATCACCTAATCAGTACCTAATTCAGTAGAATGAGGTGTGCCTGTGTTGGAATTCAACAGACACTGGAATGGAATGGCTGTCATACATGTAGAGATGCTGATTTAAGAAAACTGTGCAGGGGTCTCTTCATTTTTTCCAGAGCTGTATAGTGTATGTAGCGAACGTCGTCAGGCTAGAAGTTCAAAGGTCATACAACAAAATAGGGCACACCGTGTTAGATGGAAGGAGTCTGAGGTCCTATCTTAACTCTATATTTAGTATAGTATTGCCTATCTTTATTCATTTATATGGCTTGGAGTCCCTATTTCCAGAGAAAAAATTGATAAGTAGATATTTTCCAATTTCAATTTTGTTTAGCGCTCATTACAATGACATATAATAAGTTCTATGTTGTCAGTTCCACCTCATTCTGATTCTCCCTGTCTTGCCTACCCTCATATCCCTGGAATGAGTTCATTTGGAGAGCACCAGTTAGTGGGATAATGTTCTGGAGATAAAAATGTACAGCAAATTAAGGGGATATTGACTCGCAGAGGCTGACGTTGGGTAGCTTAGTACAATAATCACCAGATGTGTCACATTTTTCTCCTCCCTAATTAGAGTCATTTACATTTTGACTGTGGCTCACTGTTTATAATGGGACGTAACTACAATGTGTGTGGCAGAATTCATTTGCAAAATAAGGACATTTTCTGGCTGGTCGATAGAATTTCCGTCATTATTACAAAAGATCAAAAGTAGCTCTAAATCCCATAAGGACACACAGAGGACAAAGTGTAGTCGATATTACAGTCATGTGGACTTGTGTGTTGGACAGTAATTTCTGATGACGTCACCCCACTCATTCACACAAAGAACTGAATAGAGCATAGAGGAGACAGATGGGTTGATGTCCATTGGATGGAGGTGGTTTAGTTTAGAGTAGGCCTAGTGATGCTGTAAGAGATTTCCCCACTGTAAACCTCTAAGTGTGAAACCAAATGGAAATGATTACCAGAGTATCTAGGAATATCTAGATTACAGTGATTTATTTCTGTGTCATTCCCCCTCCTCCCTCATTCTGTTCTCTCTTTATCTCCCTCTTATTTGATTCCCCCCTCTCTCTGGCTCTGTCCCACCACTCTTTTCCTCCCTCTCTTTCTCTCCTCATTTTCTCTATTCTTCACTTCCCTCTTTCTCTACCGCCCCAATCATCACCTAGATCCTGGGAGTGTTGATCAGATCTCTAGAGGCCCATCCCAAGCCCTTTTAGTTTTCACGTCCCTGGTCTCAGAAATAGAATTTGCTCAACGGAGAGAGAAAAAGAGAGAGAGGTGGGATTTCCCCCCCTCCATCCCTCCCTCTCTCCATTCCCTCGCTCTGTTCTCCATTCTTCTGAGACCACTCCTGTCTCATTGTCGGTGGTAGCCAGCAGCCATGTCACAGCACAGAGCTGATATGTGGCTGGAGTAGGCAGGGAATAGGTTTATTTGACCTGGGGGGGAGCTCCTTTTTTTCAGACTGTGGTAGGGAGGGAGAGAAGGAAAACATGTCCTTTCTGTCCTTGGCTAAGAGCATGGCACTTTACCTTGAGGCGCTTCAGCAAATATCAAATGTTGCAGGTTAATAATATGTAAGCTATTTAACGCTGCCATCCTGTCCAAGGGTTCTGCTCTGCTCGCTTGAATAGAGACTCAGGGGTTTGTTGGCAGAGCTTCTTTTAGATTAATGCGAAATGGAGTGTACCGATGTGGAATACTGCGAGACAAAGAGCTGAATAAGGCCAAGTGGGGTTGCATTCAGGCCTTCTAGCGCTTCTGTGTGGATTTATTTGACCGTGGTCATTATCACTCATTGGACTTAGTTAGTTTGTTACCTGGACGAGGGCCACACGACACAAAATCAAACAATTAGTTAGAGACTAGTGCGTCATCCTAGGTCGTCATGAAGTTGCCCCTAGATACTGGTATAAGATCAGTTTGGCATTTTTACTCTTAAAGGTTAAGGCTAGGATTTGGGGAGGGTACTCTGATCCTAGATCTGTGCCTAAGGGCAACTCCTATCCGGAGCTTATAGGTCGATATTTAGGTGCTTACACCTCAGCTCAGCACTGTCCCTGGTGTGTAATAGCTTCTGGTATGAGAGATTTATAGGTGAATTTACTCTGTGTTTTACTCCTCAGTCCTCCCTAGGCTGATTTATAGAGCAAAGAGGATAATGACCTCCACATATATACCGCATCATCATCACACCATCTCCTCCCCTCTGGGTCTGTGCTTTCCTCCTTTACTGTAGGGTCAGGCAAGGCGGCCATGTTGCTAGGCTTATCTTTAAGACCTTCTGCTGCTATGAACAAAACACTCATTGACCTGACGCTGCTGTAAATCCTGCAAGGAGTATAGGCCCAATCACAGACACTGTGTTTAGTGTGTATGTGTGTGTGTGTGTGTGCCTGTGTGTGTGTGTGTATACATGTGTGTTTTTTGCACCCTTTTATCCAGCCTTCATCTGTTTGGCCCAAGTTGAGCAGACGGTTGGTGTGATTTGTGATGTTATGGTCGGGTAAACAGCGGTGTATGTTGTTGCCATGGCGTCCCAGTGGCAGTTCTCTGTAATGGCGACACCTCCCAGTGGCAGTTAGATAGGACTCAGGTGTGTCATTTAAGATTAGAGGTTTATCAGGGTAGCACAACCATTGTGTACACACACACACACACACACACACACACACACACACAGTCAAAACCCTTCCTGTCTGCCCTATTTCATTTTAGACTAGAATGCATTCATAAGCACACACTCACACATGCACACACACACACACACACACACACACACAATCATACACTCATACACTCAAAACCCTTCCTGTCTGCCCCATTTCATTTTCTCTTTCTCAATGGGATAAAGAGGATGCTGTTCTATCAAGATTACCTGGTACATGTGCATATTGGATAAAGCTGCCGTGCTTTCCTTTCCAATATGTAGTGAATACACATGGCAAACCTGAGGGGGTTTAGAAACAGGTGTTCCCTAATCCAAAATAAAGCAGATGTATTGCTATTTGCTCTCACTTCTCTGGAGTTGAAGGAGAAAGCCTGTGGTTCTGGGAAGACTGGGAACCAGAATGTGTGAGGCTGTGTGTGTGTGAGACTTTGTGAGCGAGGCTGTGTGTGTGTGTGTGTGTGTAAGGCTAAGTGTGTGTGAGGCTGTGTGTGTGTGTGTGTGTGTGTGTGTGTGTGTGTGTGTAAGGCTAAGTGTGTATGAGGCTGTGTGTGTGTGTGTGTGTGTGTGTGTGTGTGTGTGTCAGAGTATGTGAGCGGAGTTGAGCGGTCGGAAATCCCGCTCCTCGCTCAAAGGAAAAAGAACTGCCACTCCATTCATTAAAATCACAATTTAACCAACACCCATCTATTTTTGTGACTACCTGGACCTACCATTTGGTTTTGAAGTATTGAAACCAAACCATATGATTTGAATGAAAAGTAGCCTATTTTAATAAACAACAGGAAAAGGTGACTGTGAGAAGCGCTCATCATTTCAAATAAGCTACATGTCGTATTAAACAGCATAAAAACACTCTAAATAGGTCAGGAGCCAGACGGGTAGCCTAAGAAGGAACGAAAATGAATTATTTAGGCTATATTATTTCAAGGCTATAGCCGACAAAAAAACAAACATTGTGAAGCATTTGCAGGTGCGACACACTAGGCTGGCAGGGACATTAAGCGCTCAGCATTTAAACAAAATGTTGTTGTATTCAATCATTATAGTCTATAAATTGCACATATAGGCTGTGACTTACTTAGAATTCATTACAAATTAAACGGAAAATGCCTTATTAGGCTCCATCTACAGTGCCTTTGAATTCATTTTTAGAAACATGAGTTTGTCCAGTCTGTGGCTTCAGGCTCATGCGATGGTGCATGGAGAGCAGGCCAGCAGCGGAGAATACCCTCTCAGCGCTTGCAGAGCAACTGGGAATGCTAAACTCCCTTCGGGCCACTCTTGCCAGGCTGGGCAGGGATGCGTAGTTGTTTTTAGTTTTTTCTGTAGGTAGGCCTAAAGGATTTTATAACCCTATCAAAACGGAAAGCTCCTTGAAATAGGTAATATGTCAGGCCTACCTACAGGTAGATCAGGGCTGCCCAACCCTCTTCCTGGAGATCTACTGTCCTGTAGGTTTTCAGTCCAACCCTAATTTAGCGTATCTGATTCAGCTAGTGAAGGTCTTGTTGAGCAGCTAATAAGTAGAATCAGGTGTGTTAAATTAGGGTTGGACTGAAAACCCACAGGACGGTAGATCTCCAGGAAGAGGGTTGGGCAGCCCTGGTATAGATAATAGAATGAAAATGAACTAAACTTTTTAAGAGATCTGATTTTTAGTTTATAAATACTTTTCTACAATAACGCACTGAGCTAGCTACCTGTTAGCATATGCACGTACTAAGTACACCATCATGCTTTTGGGATACCTGTCTTTTCAGATTCCACAATGATTCTTTAGTTGTGGATACTACATCACCGCACTCTTGCTCTTGGTCCTCCTCATCTTTGTTCACCTGTGTGTTTGATCAGTTTCTTTATGAAAATATGTAGCATACTAGATGACAGTAGCTAAAGCGAGGGGCTATATCAGCACACAAGTAGACTGCAAATGCATGCTGGGCCGGGCATGCCCTGAGCTCGTGAAGGGAGCACTACTGGAGCGAAATCGGAGCGAGCGAGAAGGCCGACGCTCCAGCCTTTGGGAAGCTCGCTCCACGCTCCAGTCAAATTGGGCAGGCTCCACTCCTCGCTCCGCTCCAGCTCTGCTCACATACTTACATTTACATTTAAATTTACAATTTTAGTCATTTAGCAGACGCTCTTATCCAGAGTGCATACATTTTTTTAATTTTTTATACTGGCCCCCCGTGGGAAACGAACCCACAACCCTGGCGTTGCAAGCGCCATACTCTGGTGTGTGTTTGCGAGGCTGTGTGTGTGTGTGTGAGGCTGTGTGTGAGGCTGTGTGGGTCAGAATAAAACATCCTGTTGTCAAGGGAGACAGATGCTCCCTTCATGATATCTCAGCTAGAGCAGAGAGAAGAGAAAAACGCATTAGGAACCACAGATCTCTCTCAGATAGCTGGTAAGTAGCCTAGAAGACCTTGGTCTCTAATGAGAGCAATGCACAGGGCATGCATCATGGTATTACAATCACTGATTATATTACTGGCGATGTGTGATTAATAAGTGTCATCAGTGTCGCAGAGCCTCTAATTTCAGACATATTAAATGTAAATTAATTATGGTAAATTAACTAAATGAAATCTCGGATTAATTCCATTAAAAAACAAATGACTGTTTAATCGTAATCTAATTGAATTAGCGTTTCAAATTATAGTGAGATTATTCCTGCTGCCTGCAAGAACTCTCTCTCTCTCTCTCTCTCTCTCTCTCTCTCTCTCTCTCTGTCACTCTCTACCTCTGTCTCTCTGTGTCTCTCTCCCTCTGTCTCTCTCTGTCTCTCTGTCTCTCTCTCCCTCTGTCTCTCTCTGTCTCTCTGTGTCTCTCTCCCTCTGTCTCTCTCTGTCTCTCTGTCTCTCTCTCCCTCTGTCTCTCTCTGTCTCTCTGTCTCTCTCTCTCCCTCTGTCTCTCTCTGTCTCTCTGTCTCTCTCTCCCTCTGTCTCTCTCTGTCTCTCCCTATCTCCTTTCCAGACAAGAGCTCATCATTAGATATGGAGTCTCAGCCCTAGTAATTTATTTCATTGGGTTAGGTGTTTAATTCTTAGTGCCACTATCAGGCGTGTTCCAAATGATCCTGTCTGGTCTGGTCTGGGCTGGTCTGTGGATATAATTAGAGATAGATTTAATAGAGAAAGAGATGAGATTGGCCAGATCCTGAACCATTATCTCAACATGATGGAAATATGAATTCTCACCTTCTTCTTCTTCATCTCTCTCTCTCTCTCTCTCTCTCTCTCTCTCTCTCTCTCTCTCTCTCTCTCTCTCTCTCTCTCTCTCTCTCTCTCTCTCTCTCTCTCTCTCTCTCTCTCTCTCTCTCTCTCTCTCTCTCTCTCTCTCTCTCATGACATCTTACTCACCTGTCCATGAGTTACACTATTGAAACATTATCTTTTCTCCTCCCCCCACAGACCAAGAGCTCCTGGAGGACATCATGATTGACAGCTGCTTTTATCTCTCTCAGCCAATGGTGAGTGAAAATAGAGCTTTACCCAGGAAGGAGGAAGTTCTAGATATGTTTCAACCGGTTTGGCTTTCTGTAACTAACTTCCTGACTCTACAGCGGTACTTCAGAGCTCTCAATATTCATGTCCTGCTGTTCTCCTTTTGTACAAACTCTTTGTTCAGCTCCGGTTGCTTTTCATACCACTAATCTGTAACTGTGATACCGATTACTATATTGATATTACCCCTTTCATCACATCACAAAGCAATTTGTGTCACGTTAACTCCCCTAATTAACGCAATCACTCCCTTTGGTGCCGCACATATGAGAGAACCAGGATAAATCGGATAGTCGGATGTTTGTTGCTTTATTGCTTTTCTCAAACAAAAACACTCCATTAGTGATGAGATCAGGATGCTATACGTGGCAACCTGGGCTACCCAGTGCTGTGTCTGCGTGCTCGCCGCTCAGCGGGTCTGAGTGTATTCTGGTCGATACGTATCCCTCCTCTGTCTGTCTCTGGGAGTGGCTGTCTGGTCTGTGAGCCCAATACAATCAGCTGTGCACTGTGTAGACGGAAAGTGAAGGTTCCCACGACAGCCATGAACCGAGAGGTAGTTACACTGTAAAACAACGCCTCGCTACTCAACGCCTCGCTACTTCCGTATATCAAGATTGGCGTCTGGGTGGGGATTTGAGTGTACTTTTGCCCCGGTCTAGTTTAGAGAAACAGGCTTGTGATTTTAAAATAGAGATGTCGGAGATGGTAATGTGAGGGCAAACTGGAATGCATTTAGAAGCACACACGCACGCATGCGCCAAGCATGCACACACGCGCACACACACACACACACACACACACACACACACACACACACACACACACACACACACACACACATACACACACATACACACACACACATACACACATACACACATACACACATGACACACACAGACTTGCAGTAGTACCTGTGTAAAATATGGCCTTGCCTGGAATGAATGGGTCTTTCCATGGTGAGGTGGCAGGTCGTTATTCTGCATCCCACCAGGAGACAATAAAGGCCAGACACAAGGAGGCTCTCTTTAGAACGCACTCTCACCTCATTTTACACCCCTGGCATCTATAAAGTTCAACCTTGACAGAAAGAGAAGGAGAGAGGTGCCGAGGGAGAACTAAGAAGGAGAGAGATGGGGATATAAAAAACAGGTGCTATCTAGAACCTAAAAGGGTTATTCGGCTGTCCCCATAGGAGAACCCTTTGAATAACCGTTTTTGTTTCCTGGTAGAACCATTTTGGTTCCAGGTAGAACTCTTTTGGGTTCCATGTAGAACCCTTTCCACAGAGGGTTCTACCTGGAACCAAAAAGGATTCTACCAGGAACCAAAAAGGATTCTCCTATGGGGACAGCCGGAGAACCCTTTTGGAACCCTTTTTTCTAAGAGGGGAACTAAAGTCTGGAGTGTATTTGATTGCAATGGAGAGAGAAATGTAGCTTAGATCTCACTGCGACTGGAAATAGAGTGAAGTGACCATGCAGTGACCAGAGAGACAAAGCATAGGAGGTGAACTGACGCAGTAAAACTGCACAGTATTCTCCTGACGATAGATCATGCATAGCAGCGACCTCTGTATTTGTAGACCTCATCATTTTATAATGACTTTGTCCATCACATCCATCACAGCCAGTGTTCAGCTGGTGTTATGATGAGTTTCTCGGGTGTTCAAGTAATCAAGGATGCAAGAATATAGTTAGACACTTTGTAGAAAGTTAATGCAAATGTTTAATGATCGGTACCGGGTTCGTTACAACAATGACCAGAGCTTTGCCCTTGTTGTTACGAACTAACTTGAACAAAGGAAACACTCTACCTTATATACCTTCTATTACCCTCTTCCTGGCATACATCTGGTAAGTCTCCATGGGCACTCCCTGTCTTTGATGTTCATCACTCTTTACCCCAAGTCAGTATCCTGCCCATCACTCATGCTATCCCAAACATCAAATCAAATCAAATCAAATTGTATTGGTCACATGCACCAAATACAACAGGTGCAGACATTACAGTGAAATGCTTACTTACAGCCCTTAACCAACAGTGCATTTATTTGTAACAAAAAAAGTAAAAATAAAACAACAACAAAAAAAGTGTTGAGAAAAAAAAGAGCAGAAGTAAAATAAAATAACAGTAGGGAGGCTATATATACAGGGGGGTACCGTTGCAGAGTCAATGTGCGGGGGCACCGGCTAGTTGAGGTAGTTGAGGTAATATGTACATGTGGGTAGAGTTAAAGTGACTATGCATAAATAATTAACAGAGTAGCAGCAGCGTAAAAAGGATGGGGTGGGGGGGCAGTGCAAATAGTCCGGGTAGCCATGATTAGCTGTTCAGGAGTCTTATGGCTTGGGGGTAGAAGCTGTTGAGAAGTCTTTTGGACCTAGACTTGGCACTCCGGTACCGTTTGCCGTGCGGTAGCAGAGAGAACAGTCTATGACTAGGGTGTCTGGAGTCTTTGACAATTTTGAGGGCCTTCCTCTGACACCGCCTGGTATAGAGGTCCTGGATGGCAGGAAGCTTGGCCCCAGTGATGTACTGGGCCGTACGCACTACCCTCTGTAGTGCCTTGCGGTCGGAGGCCAAGCAGTTGCCATACCAGGCGGTGATGCAACCAGTCAGGATGCTCTCGATGGTGCAGCTGTAGAATTTTTTGAGGATCTGAGGACCCATGCCAAATCTTTTCAGTCTCCTGAGGGGGAATAGGCTTTGTCGTGCCCTCTTCACGACTGTCTTGGTGTGTTTGGACCATGATAGTTCGTTGGTGATGTGGACACCAAGGAACTTGAAGCTCTCAACCTGTTCCACTACAGCCCCGTCGATGAGAATGGGGGCGTGCTCAGTCCTCTTTTTTTTCCTGTAGTCCACAATCATCTCCTTTGTCTTGGTCACGTTGAGGGAGAGGTTGTTGTCCTGGCACCACACGGCCAGGTCTCTGACCTCCTCCCTATAGGCTGTCTCATCGTTGTCGGTGATCAGGCCTACCACTGTTGTGTCGTCGGCAAACTTAATGATGGTGTTGGAGTCGTGCCTGGCCATGCAGTCATGGGTGAACAGAGAGTACAGGAGGGGGCTGAGCACGCACCCCTGAGGGGCCCCCGTGTTGAGGATCAGTGTGGCAGATGTGTTGTTACCTACCCTTACCACCTGGGGGCGGCCCGTCAGGAAGTCCAGGATCCAGTTGCAGAGGGAGGTGTTTAGTCCCAGGATCCTTAGCTTAGTGATGAGCTTAGAGGGCACTATGGTGTTGAATGCTGAGCTGTAGTCAATGAATAGCATTCTCACGTAGGTGTTCCTCTTGTCCAGGTGGGAAAGGGCAGTGTGGAGTGCAATAGAGATTGCATCATCTGTGGATCTGTTGGGGCGGTATGCAAATTGGAGTGGGTCTAGGGTTTCTGGGATAATGCTGTTGATGTGAGCCATGACCAGCCTTTCAAAGCACTTCATGGCTACAGACGTCAGTGCTACGGGTCGTCATTTAGGCAGGTTATCTTAGAGTCCTTGGGCACGGGGACTATGGTGGTCTGCTTGAAACATGTTGGTATTACAGACTCAGTCAGGGACATGTTGAAAATGTCAGTGAAGACACTTGCCAGTTGGTCAGCACATGCTCGGAGTACACGTCCTGGTAATCCGTCTGGCCCTGCGGCCTTGTGAATGTTGACCTGCTTAAAAGTCTTACTCACATCGGCTACGGAGAGCGTGATCACATAGTCATCCGGAACAGCTGGTGCTCTCATGCATGCTTCAGTGTTGCTTGCCTCGAAGCGAGCATAGAAGTGGTTTAGCTCGTCTGGTAGGCTTGTGTCACTGGGCAGCTCGCGGCAGTAATAATCCTTTGACATAATGGAATGCAGACTTCCTGTCTCCTAACCACTTATCTAGTAACTCTAACCTGTTCCCCACGATACTATGACATGACATCATTATACCATAAAAACATCATATCAGCTGGCCAGTGTCCAGTGTTCAGCTGGCCAGTGTCCAGTGTTCAGCTGGCCAGTGTCCAGTGTTCAGCTGGCCAGTGTCCAGTGTTAAGTGGTCAGTGTTGGGTGTTAAGGCCTGATGTCACAGCATAACAGCAGGGGTGACGCAACAACACAACAGACTTGTTTACTTCCAGCCACGGGATGCTGTTGCCAGGCAACCCCGGACGACCGGGGGAATTTATCTCTTTCCCTCGGGTTTAACCTTGGTAGAGGGCAAGTGATGCTGGAGGGAGGGAGAGAGGAATGCAGTGAAATGAGGGGGAGAGAGGGATGGACCCAGCACCTGTTTCTGATATCGACCTTTCCAAAATCTGATTATAAGCCCGTGAGTGAATAACGAGCTGGTGCTTTAGACTAGCAGTTAGCGTTAGCCTAGCGTAGCGTCTCGCCCCATTAGCCTTACAGCGATGCCATGGCAATCTGTTGGTGCCGAGCAACACCATCTGCCACTAATGTGATCTGTGTCCCTCGACCCCGGAGGGAGAAAGAGAGAGAGAGGGAGGGAGGGAGAGAGAGGAAGAAAGGGGTGGGATAGAGCGATGGAGGGATAGAGTGATAGAACGTGAAAGTATGAGCAAGAGAGGGTGATAAGCTGGTGGTAGAGATAGAGTGTGAGAGGGAGAGATGGAGTGCGTCTTCCTGCTGTGTTTAATTAAGAGGTAGGAACCAGGTCCTGGCAGGGCGTCCCAAAGCTGCTCCACCACCCTACCTCTGCCTCTGTGGAGGACTGGGGACTGCTGGGTACCTGCCCAAAACACCCATAGGAGCTACACGACTTTGTCAATCACTTAGCCTAATCAATAAATCCATCAAACTGCCTTCACTGTTCCCTTGATGTTATTGCAGATGAAAGTGATATGATCTCTAAGGGGGCGACTGTGATGAGACACAGGGTTTCTGAAGGTAGTTACTGTGTATAGCAGTATTGAATTATCCTTACTGTCTAAGCGATCTCTGGGGTTTGATGATAAAGAATGTTGATTGTTGAACCGTGTCAATTCGTTCTATTCTCTCTCTATGTTCAATCTAGTGTAGGCAGGTAACTGTTGAAGAATAACTGCTTTATCCATTCTATGCTGTATCTGTTGTTTTCTCTCTTTGGCTGATTTTGCAGGTAGTTGACTGTTAGAGCGTGACATTTCTATCCATAGATACTCTGGTGCTGTTGATTGTTGAAGCAAAACTTCTCTCTCTATCCATCCCAACTCTGCTGTGCTTTCCGTTTCTTGACAGTATACAGTTGCCTTTTGAAGTGTGTTTGATCTATGGATTCTAACTCTACTCTGTGTTCTTTCTCCAGCCTGATGACCAGATGAGTCTGGTGGCGGTGATGCTCTACGACTTCCAGGACAGGAAGTTCCTCCCTCGGGAATGCCAGGGGGAGGAGCTTGTACAGGAAGTCAGGGAGGTGGAGAACTGCCTCCTCAGGTAAGAGGGAAAGGGGTGGGGGGGGGTGTACTGTATGTGTGTCTGTGTGTTGTTGTGGTAGGTGGCTGATGGGTATGAGTGACTGTTGGAATAAGATTCCATACTGTACGTGTGGTTGGGTGATACACTCTTCAGTTCTCAGCAAAACACCATCTCTTCCCGTGTGTGTTGTAGGTTTAAGACCAAGCTGGCAGCCTCCCTGGCTCGCAGTAGGATCAAACATGACCTCCTGACCATCGACTGCATCCTCCCTGAGGCTGTAAGGAAGAAACAGGAGAGAGCCAACAGGCTGCCCCTCTACGCATGGGTCAACACACTCAAAAGCAGGTCAGCACACACACACACAGATGGCACACACACACACACACACACACACACACACACGTATGCACACACACACACACACGTATGCACACACACACACATGTATGCACACACACATAGGTCTGAGGTTGTGGGTGTTGAACAATGGTTTATGATCCAGTTGCCATGCAGACATTTCATTAAACCATAGTCTGTGTGTGTGTGTGTGTGTGTGTGTGTGTGTGTGTGTGTGTGTGTGTGTGTGTGTGTGTGTGTGTGTGTGTGTGTGTGTGTGGTGTGTGTGTGTGTGTGAGAACGGAGGAGAGACATAGATTATATATTTATTTGTCTGTTTTTCACAGATAAATGCTTTACGTACAAGAAAACGCACTGTGAGAGAGTGAGAGACATGGCATAGTCCAGACAACATCAAACATACAAATTCATGAATAACTAAACAAAAATGACAGCTTAAGGACTCTTACTCCTCTCTTCACCATTACAATAACTGTGCCCCCCAATACACTCAATATAACACATCCCCATAATGTCCAATGTCCCTGAGCATTGCGCATAATGTTATTGCACAACCCTATAATTGCAATATCCATGATTCCATGATTGTTTTACACAGTTACATTAACTTATCACTTTTAACAATTGCACGTTCCCGAATGAGTGAGTCCTCCTTATTGTTCAAATGGTTTTTGTACCCGACCAGTTTACACTTGGGAGTCTGTAGTGCTTTCTGGATAGCAGGAGCACATGGGAAGAGTCCTCTGCTATTTTGTTTGCCATCCTCAGCATGTTTTTGTGGTAGCTGTCCAGAAAGGTTCTGTTGGTGGGCTTGCCAATTATTATTTTACGCAGTTCTCAGCAGACTTGTCACCCTGGCTTTTGCCCGTACTGTGACACTGTTGTACCATGATGCAGTGCGGCGAACCGCTCTGGATTGTGGAGCATAATAAAAGATAGCAATACGAACATACACTGAGTATACCAAACATTAGGAACACCTTCCTAATATTGAGTTGCATCCCCCCCCCCCCCCACAAGGAAGCTGGCCCATGTTGACTCCAATCAGGGGCACAACTTTGGTTTTCATTGTTATAATTATATATTTTTTTAATCCAGTCGGATAAACATTCCAAATAGCCTACCCGACCGCTCGGAGGTGTCCGCAAGCACACCGTTGCCTCGTTTTGTATCACATTCTGGGGGGGACAAAAATGCAATTTCAGAATGTGGGGTGGGACATGTCCAATGCTTCCCACAGTTGTGTCAAGTTGGCTGGATGTCTTTGGGTGGTGGACCATTCTTGATACACATGGGAAACTGTTGAGCATTGCAGTTCTTGACACCTACTACCATACCCCGT